TACTGTTTTATGAATTTAAAAATATTTTTTTTAAAAAAATTATTTTCTTCAATAAATATATTAAAAAATTAATTTTATTTATAAAACGTATTTGTAAAATACGTTTTAAATAATTTTATTTATAAAACATATTTTTAAAATATGTTTTATTTATTATTAAATTAAGTTGATAACATAATTAATTTAATTAACTTTAAAGCGTATTTTAAAAATATGTTTTTAAATAAAAACGGATTTTTAAAATATGTTTTTTAAATAAAAACGTATCATCAAAATACGTGCTTTTGATAAAGGTCCACACTTTTTTTTTCTTTTTATTTTTCGCCACTTAATTTTTTTATTTTTTTAATGTGGTTAAAAAACCGCTATATGTAGACTACTGAGAAGTGAGAACAATAGAGTACATGGAAATCGAAATTTGAAATATCAGATGGATAGCCGCTTAATTTGTTATTCATACAGATCAAACTTCATAAATAGTTTTGATAGTACGTAAAACTTGAAATTTTAAATGACATTGATATATCATCAAGAGCTGAGTTTGAGGTGCTTGCCCAGCATTTACTTATTATCGATCCATTTCACACCCTGGTAGATGCCAGGCTTTAAGAGAGGAACAGTAAATAATAATGAGTGTTATTTATTTCAGAAAAAAATAAAAAATAAAAAAGTAAAAATGAACAAGAGTTTAAATAAAAAAGTATTAGTGGTTGTTTGCATAGTTTTTAAACCCGATCCAGTAATCGACCCGGGCAGGTCACCGGTTGAATCGTCGGGTCACCGGGTCAATTGTTGAACTGGATAATTAATTTTAAAATTTTAAAATTATATATAGAGTATTTTGTCATATAAATATACATAAAAGTAACAAAATTAAATGTTTAGTGTATAAAATTTGTACATTAAAGTATTAATAATATGTATCTCATAATAAATATTTACCAAATAAACATATATACATAGTTTTATTTTTGAAAAACAAAAAAATTAAAATAATATATATATCGGCCGTGTCAACCAGGTTGACCCGGCCGGGTCAAGGCCGGGTTTGCCAGTTTGACCAGGTCCTTTGTTGCCCGATCCAAATAGCTCACTCGGACCGGTTCCGACTCCGGGTCGACGGGGTCCCGGGTCAACCCGTCGGGCCGGTCCCGGTTAAAAAACTATGGTTGTTTGAAAATAATATTTAAGTGGATAAGACTTGTGGCAGGTATGTGTGGAGGTCGAGCTTATGACTGAGTCGTGCAACAGGAGGGAGTAAAATCCTTCATGGATGAGAAGTGTATAGCACTAAGGACTCCTAGATTCAGGAAATCTTGTCAGTTAGGAAAGTGAATACGGGAGTATTTCTTTTTTAACTGGTTCTCTAGTCACCAAGTTGTCCTAAGTATGTAAGGATAATCAGGTTCTCTACTTTATACAACACACATATGCGCACAATAACTTACACACATATTCTTAATTTTACCACGGGCAAATAATAACTTGAGCGTCAGAGGCTTTTTCGTTGGGACCCTTTCGGCGTATTGCAGGCCTCATCGAAGCTTTGGGCTGGTGCAGGTTCGTGATTCGCGGTTCAACCGGATAGAGCAATTTGCCTATCAAATTGGCACCGTCTTTGAGAAAACTCCACTCTTTTATTGGCTATAGGGGACTGATCGGTTGACAAGAGAAATATTGGGGTACTGATTCATCCCAATTGTGATGATCAGTGAAGGCTTAGAGCAGTATATATATTCACAATAAGGAGATTAGGGTTTACATGATAAAAGGTAACTAGCCTAATTAAATCAATTACATAATTACACCCTCTAAATAATATCTACAAATATGGTAAAGATATGATACACTAACACCCCCTCTCAAGTTAGAGCATGTGGGTTCCGAATACCTAACTTGCCGAGGAAGAAATCAAACTCGCGCTTGCCCAAAGCCTTGGTGAAAATGTCCGCCAGTTGAGAATGAGTAGAAACATGAGTAGCAGAAATGAGACCTTGGACGAGAGCATCACGTAGAAAGTCGCAGTCATACTTCAATGTGTTTGGTGCGCTCATGAAAGACAGGATTAGCGGCAATATGTAGCGCCGCTTGACTGTCACAGTGAATCCGATTGGCTGAGAATGAGCCATGCCAAGGCTGCAAAGTAAACCTCGTAACCATTTCAACTCGCAAGTAAGCGTCGCCATAGCACGGTACTTAGCCTCGGCAGAAGAGCGAGCAACCGTGTGCTGCTTTTTAGTACGCCGGCATGAAATTGGAGAATGCCCAAGTTGGACGAACCAACCCGTGAGACACCGACGAGTAGTAGGGCATGTTGCCCAATCGGAGTCACACCAACCATAGATCTGCAAGTCACAATCAGACCGAAGAAGAATACCCTAGCCCGAAGTACCCTTCAAATTACGTACTACACGAGTAGCAGCATCTTAGTGTGCCTGACGAGGCTGATGCATAAACTGAGAGAGCATGTGCACAACATAAGACAAGTCAGGATGAGTGACAGCTAAATAAATCAAACGGCCCACTAGCCGCCGATATCGCTCAGGATCAGAGAACAAAGGAACATCGGCCGATAGAAGCTGGTGATTCTGCTCCATAGGAAAATCAGTAGGCTTGCCACCAAGTAAGCCAACTTCCGCAACTATGTCCAGAGTGTATTTCCGCTGACACAAAAATATGCCTGAGGAATTCCGATCAACCTCAATGCCCAAAAAATACTTCAAGGCTCCCAAATCCTTCATATGAAAACAACGACCCAAATACTCCTTAAAGACAGTAATAGCAGTCGGATCACTTCTAGAAATGATGAGATCATCGACATAAACCAGGACATTCAAGTACATAGAATCTCGATGTAGAGTGAAAAGTGAGTAATCAAAATAGGACTGCTCAAATCCATAATGCTTAAGAGCAGTAGCAAGCTTTGCAAACCAACAACGAGGAGCTTGCTTTAAGCTATACAGAGAGCGACACAGTTGATATACCTCACCGGTCTGAGGTGAATGAAAACTAGGAGGAAGTTTTCATTATGAACATCCATGTGATGGACCTCCTAATGTCGTGCCGCAACAACAACCAAAAAGGTACGAACAGTCACCATCTTCGCGACTAGAGCAAAAGTCTCCTGATAGTCAATCCCTTCAATCTGCCTATTCCCCAGAACGACAAACGTGCCTTATAGCGCTCAATAGATCCATCAGAATGATACTTAATCTTGTAAATCCACTTGCAGCCAATAGCATGCTTTCCGGTAGGAAGGGCTACAACATCCCAGGTACGGTTATTTTCTAAGGTCTGAATCTCAAGCTGCATGGCGAGTGCCAACGACTATCACGAACTGCTTCTGCGAAAGTCTGTGGTTCAACAACAGAAGTAACAGCTGCCAAAAAAGACTTGTGTTCGGGTGAGAACAAATCACATGAAATATAATGTGCAATGGGGAAAGGCGTACCTGAGGATGGCGATGAGGAAGGGGAGACAGTAGGGGGGGACAAAGTAGAGACATTATGAGAGACATAATAAGTGAGCCGAGAGGAGCGATGCTTAACCCGATGACCACGACCAAGCAATTCTGCCAGGGGAGAAGTACCCCCCATCATCAACACTACTAGGAGTCTCGGACTCAGACGGACTGGTAGGAGACACAGTATCCTCAACATCATCACATGCAATGGGCCAAGTGCCCGCAATGGGAGAGGTAGACGAAGGAGACATCATATAAGGAAAATCAGATTCACAGAATTCAACGTCACGAGAGGCAAAAAAAAGAACCATAATCCAAATCATACATGCATCAGCCCTTTTGATAACCAGGATAACCAACAAATATGCATTTATGACTTCGATTAGCAAATTTGTCACCATGTGAATTCTGATTATGTGCAAAACACAGACACCTAAATGTGTAAATGCGGGGGATTTACTATATAACATTTCATAAGGGGTTTTTCAGACAGAACCGGAGTGGGTGTTCGATTAATTAGATACCCAGCAGCAAGAACACAATGTCCCCAAAATTCAAGAGGCAAATGAGCTTGAAAGCGCAAAGCGCGAGCTACATTGAGAATGTGTTGATTTTGCGCTCGACGCGCCCATTTTTTTTAGGGGTACCAACACAGGAAGTCTCATGGACAATGCCCTCTCGACCAAAATAATGACCCATACAAGTAAATTCAGTTCCGTTATCACTGCGAAGAGTTTTAACTAAAGCATCAAACTGTCGTTTCACCAAAGCAAAGAATTTCAACAAAGTAGACGAAACAACACCTTTATCATCCAATAAATAAATCCAAATTGCACGAGAGTAATCATCCACAATTGTAAAAAAATATCGTGCTCCGCTAAAGGCGGGAACACGATAAGGTCCCCATAAATCACAATTAATAAGTAAAAAAATGTCATGAGCAGTACTATTACTAATAGGAAAACTAGAACGCGAATGCTTAGCTCTATGGCACACATCACATGCTTTATTTGATGCCGAAGAAGCAGAGTCGTGGATAAAATGAAATTGAGCAAGTACTGAGGAAGAAGGATGGCCCCTCCGTCGATGCCATAAATCAGTGGAGACTGTCATCACTCGAGAAGCGGCCGCAGCTACTGTCCTTCGAAAGAAGTACAGTCCCCCCAACTGTTCACCCGCTCCAATCACCATCCTTGTAGTGTGGTCCTGAATAGTACAAAATTTATTAGTAAATGTGGCCACACAACCGGCATGTTCCAATAACTGATATAAAGATATCAAGCTACACCGAAGACTAGGGACGAAAAGAACATCAGAAAGAATAATATGGGACCCAAGTCTGACTGTCCCAGCCTGATTAGCAGTTGTAACCGTGCCATTAGGTAATTGTACGGAACGTGGCGAGATGTCCATAAGATCAGAAAAGAACTCCTGAAAACCTGTTATGTGGTGCGACGCACCGCAATCATACATCCAATCAAAAATGATGCGCTTACCAGAAAGCCACCGAAGTAACAAGATTGACAATGGATTCCCATTAAGCATTGGAAAAACCAGAGATCGCGGTGCGATTCGACTCACTCATGACCTCTCCGCTCGCTGAGCCTGGTCTGTTCGCCGACCCATTGACCAACATATTTGGGGGACCACCGAAGGCCGCATGAGCACGTGTCTGGTTGTCCCCAACCCCATTCTTTCCGCCGCCACTCTGGCCACCACCCCGACCCGAACCATTGCCGCGCCCGCTGTCCCCGGTGCCCCACCATTTCGGGTGACTGATTACCTCGAAGCATTTAACCGCAATCTGCCCTGTCTTTCCACAGGTGTAGCAGGTAAGGTTCTTCACAAACCGACCACCGGCTGTATTTCTTCGATCAGCGACAGCCGCTGCGAGCAAAAGAGTTCCACCTCCAATGAGTCGAGACTCGCCGTGACTTGTGCAGGCGCGACACCCGATATGCCAGAGAGATCGGTTTTGACAGTGAAATTGGACGTCTCAATCGGTGAGTGCTCGTGAAGTGCTGTCTGCATACGTTCCTCACAAATCATCATAGAGTATACCTGATTGAGATTCGGCATCGGATCAAGGGCCAAAATATGGGATCGCGTCGGGCCATATAAGCTCTCGTCTAAACCCATCAGAAATTGGTGAACACGTTCCTCCTCCCGGCGTCGATCCCAATCTGATTGAAGGTCGCATTCGCACTTGCCACAGCGGCAGACCGGGGAGCGCTCATAGCCGGCGAGTTCGTCCCAAAGTTTCTTCAACCTACCGTAGTAGTTTTTGATGCTGCTACCTGCCTGTTTGAATCCGAACAAATCCACTTTTAGTTGTTGAATCGTGGCCCGTTAATGGTTGTATATCGCTCTCGGAGAGCCAACTAGAGATGAGCAACAAAGCCGGATTGAGAGATCGTCGATCGAACCGTCGGATCGATGCTATTCATGATCTAACATAGCAAGAGATGATTGTTGGCAAGCCAATCGTCATACAAATCCGTTCTCGGTGGTGGACGAGGAATGGAGTCATCAAAGAAGCCAAATTTTTTTCGAGCACCAAAGGCCGTTCGCAAGCTACGGGCCCATTCATCATAATTTGTGTCGCCCTTCAGTTGAACGTGGGTGACCAATAAGCCAGGGTTATCAGAAGACGAAATATCATAGGGAGAGATGGACCGTCGAACGACACCGTCGACGCCTTGGGAAGAAGATGTTGACATTAGAGAGAAGAAGAAAGAAAATAAAATTGGAGGGGGATTAAGGACTAATGAATCCTGTGATTGCAATGGTATAAACGCTTAAAAAAAATCATTAACCAGACAGCGACCAAGAAGAAAGAAGAGTGGGGAACACGAAAAAAATTTATTCGAGAGATAACCTACTCGATACCATGACAAGAGAAATATTGGGGTACCGATTCATCCCAATCGTGATGATCAGTGGAAGCTTAGACTCGTATATATATTCACAATAAGTAGATTAGGGTTTACATGATAAAATGTAACTAGCCTAATTAAATCAATTACATAATTACACCCTCTAAATAATATCTACAAATATGGTAAAGATATGATACACTAACATTGGTTTTTCTCACAACAAATTCAAAGAATCTTGAAGATCATGGCGGACGATAATTCCAAAAAGAGTTTTACCAATGAGTTGGATGAAGCATGGACAAGGAGAGCGTGTGGGACTAGCCCTCCCCCAAGATGGTCACAGTCTGTTGGCACGTTTGTCATGCCGCATAAGACGTTGTCAGCGCCCCATATGGCATTAAACCTGATGTTAGGCACGTTTGGGAGACATACACTGGAGCAGAGAACACTTGTCAACTAGTAGGAAACAGAAAGTCAAGGAGTTCTGGACCAAATAGTGGCCCAGGACAAAGAAGGACAACAACAGGGAGGTCTGGTGTTTGTCCCATTTTTGTTGCGTTTTTCGTATTTGTTTTTTCATTCTTTTTCTCCTGTTTTAGGTCTTGTATTTCGTTTTTAGTTCGATTTGTGTTTTGTTGCGTGTTTTACTTTATTTTGGATTTTTCTGTCTTTTCGTTTGTGAACCTAAGACCTAATGACTACGATTTATTCTCATTTCTTTCACCAAGCATCATTCTCATGTGAACCCAACCCTATATATATATAATATATATATATATATATATGGGGTGGATCAAATGCGGCTAGCTCTTAAAATGCGCCCAGCAAAATGCGGACAGCTATTAGCAACTACAGACAACTAACCTAGCAACTACAGAGAACTAACCTAGCAACTACAGAGAACTAACATAGGTACTACTAACCTAGCAACTACTAACTTAGCAACTACAAAGAACTAATTTAGCAACTACAGAGAACTAACCTAGCAACTAGTAACCTAGCAACTACAGAGAACTAACCTAGCAACTACAAAAAACTAACTTAACAACTACAAAGGCTTCTGGATGACGACGACCTCCTCATAGACGATATGGACCAGCTGGACGTCTCGTCTAGGGGAGAGTCCATCCACCTATCGGACATTGCGCGCGATGCCGGTCGTTTGACTGTGCGCGTATCTAGCCCGGTCCGATCTTCGGATTTGAGGGCTACTGCCGTCACCGCTCCCCCGAAAGGGGATGAGTCGGCCCATCTCCTCCCTGCTGAGATTGGGAGCTCGGTTGAGCATATAGCCAGCTCCCACCCTCCTTCTGGCAACGAGCACCCGAGTGCTCCGCCTGCTGGAACCTCCCTTTCACCCATCCCTGAGCAGGCATGCGGTCTTAACCGCGCTCAGTATGATGTCTCGTGCGAGAGCTTCGCCTCTAGTGCCTTCGTTCACTACGCTAGTGCTGCTATAGGCTAGACTGCCCAGCCAGACGACACACAGGCTACGAGCACCTGCCGCGGCAGACAGTCCACGAGGACCAGAGCCACGCAGCGCACGATACAACGGACGATCTCCCCTGCAATTCGATCCTTCCGCCACATGCCTTCTTTAGGTGGCCCGACTCAGCCTCGCCACAGGCGGACTATGTCCGGTGGCTCTTGCGACCGTTGATATGTCTATCACATCCATTACTTGGAATGGCCGTGGCCTGGCGAATAAGGCTACTCTCTCTCACCTTCATTCTCTCATTCGTGATCACAGACTCGATTTTGTTGGCTTTATTGAGCCGATGATTTGCACCACTTCTTTTGACTACTACTTGCGTAGCCTTGGCTTTCACTCGGGCGTGGGTAATATTTCGCATAAGATCTGGTTCTTTCACTCGCGTGACTACACTTGTCGGGTCCTCCGCGACACCGATCAGGTGCTTCACGTTGAGCTTTCCGCTGCCCACTCCCAGAGCCCATCTTTCACACCTTGGTTTATGCCAAGTGAACTAGGGTCGGGCGATATGACCTTTGGGACACCCTGCGTGAGATTGCCGAGAGTATGGAGGGATTGCCATGGATAGTTAGTGGCGATTTCAACATCTTTCTGCATCCCGATGAGCGTGTGGGTGGCTGTTCGGACCGGTCACGGGAGATGTGGGATTTTGCTCAGGCGGTGGTGGACTGTGAGCTAATTGACGCTGGATGTGATGGTGAGCCCTTCACGTGGGTGAGGGACGGACTCAAAGAGAGGCTCGACCGTGCCTTGGTTTCTGAGGCGTGGGCGAAGGTGTTTGCAGTTACGACCGTCACACACCTTACTCGATTTGGATCTGACCACTCACCGCTTCTCATCCGGTGCCGATATTCGAGCACCCCCCGCCGCTCCTCCTTTAGGTTCCAGAACATGTGGGTTCGCCACCACTCCTTCCACGACACTGTCATGGATTCCTGGATTCAGCCGACTGGGCTCTTCGGGATGCGCAATCTCAAGTCGAAGCTCGGCAGACTGTGGAGTCGGTTGAGACAGTGGAACTGGGATGTTTTTAGAAACCTTCATCAGCGCCTCTCTGCGGCTCAGAGGGCGCACGCGACGGCTAAGCGGGCCTATGACCTGGACCCCACTCTGGAGAATAGGACTGCGATGCACCGCTGCCACGCCGAGTACCAGCTCCGACTCTTTATGGAGGAGGACTTCTGGAAGTAGAAGGCGGCCGTTCGCTGGGTAGCTGAGGGAGAGCGGAATACTAGGTTCTTCCAGGGCTACGTTAGGTAGAAGCGTGCTAAGTCGTACATCCATAGTATCGAGGCTGATGTGTCATCCCTCACCCAGGAGGCTCAGATTCGGGAGTCGGCTGTTGCTCACTTCCAGACCCTCTTCACCTCTGACAGAGGGTCCCTCGTGGCCCCGACTGTTCTTTCTTTCCCACCATCCCTCCTTCGGTAGATCTCATTGGACTCTGTGAGCTACCGAGTAGGGAGGAGGTTAGGGATGTTGTCTTCATGATTGATCCCAACAGCGTTTCTGGCCCGAATGGTTTCTCCTCTCTTCTACCAGGTCTGCTGGGATTTAGTCGAGACTGACGTCGATGAGGCAATGTTGGATTTTTTCTCCGATCGCCGGATCCCGGATTCCTTCACGTCTACCTCTGTCGTCTTGATCCCCAAAAGACCCAACCCGAGCTCTTGGTCCGATTACAGGTCCATTAGCCTGTGTAACGTGACCAACAAGCTCATTTCGAAGATTCTTAACAGCCGCCTTTCACCCCTTCTCCCCTCCCTCATCTCTCCGAATCGGAGTGGCTTCGTCAAGGTCGAGTCATTAGTGATAACATCCTTCTGGCCCAGGAGATGATCCACGACATCTCCCGTGCGGACTAGAAGCGGGCTCCGAATATCGCGCTGAAGCTAGACATGGCTAAGGCGTATGATAGGGTTGAGTGGCCGTTTCTTAGGGAGGCACTGGCTAGGATGGATTTTCTGAGCGTTGGATCAGCTTTGCAGAGGCGTGTGTGGAGCACTGCACGTTCTCGGTCCTGGTTAATGGCAGCCCCACCGACTTCTTCCCCTCCTCTAGAGGCCTTAGACAGGGCGACCCCCTTTCCCCTTCCCTTTTCGTTCTTGCGGCGGACTACCTCTCTCGCTGCCTTGACGGCTTCATCCGCGACTTCCCCCATATGACCTATAGCACCCGTGGCTATGGTCCTACCATCTCTCACCTCTCTTATGCGGATGACATCATCATCTTCACCCGGGCGGATGATGATGGACTGGTCGAGCTTATGCGCCTTCTGGAGCACTATGGCTCGATCACCGGTCAGCTGGTCAGTGTGCAGAAGAGCACCTTCACCCTCTCTTCTACCACCGCGGACATGTGGGCTCAGCAGGTCCACGACATTACTTGCTTTGCGCGTTGAGACCTTCCCATTACCTACCTTGGGGTCCCCTTATATAAGGGCAACCTCACCAGAGCGCTCTTTGTGGGCGTCAGGCAGAGGATGATCGACAGGATCTCTGGTTGGTCGCATAGATATCTTTCTTT